AGAAAAAAAATCATGGTATTGGAGGCGGATGATTTGAGGAAAAGAATAGAGAAAAGCCAAGACTGTTATTGCAGGCATAGAACATAGAAACACAGAATAACAAGAGCTGGAAGGGACCTTGGAGGTCATCCAGTCCAGCCCCCTGCTCGGGCAGGAGACCCTATACCATTTCAGACAAATGTTGGTCCAGTCTCTTCTTACAAACCTCCAGTGATGAAGCACCCACAACTTCTGGAGGCCAGCTGTTCCACTGGTTAATTGTTCTCACTGTCAGAAAATTTTTCCTTCGTTGCTTCTCTCCTTGGTTCGTTTTCATCTGTTGCTTCTTGTCTTGCTTTCATTTGCTTTGGAAAATAGGTTGACCCCCCCCCTCATCTTTGTAGGAGCCCCTCAGATATTGGAAGGCTGCTATCATATCACTCCTCGGCCTTCTTTTCATTAGACTAGACCAGAGGTAGGCAACCTTGGCTCTTTTATGACTTGTGGACTTCAACTCCCAGAATTCCTGAGCCAGCCATGCTGAGGGGAAAGGGAGAGGTTTCCAAGCAGAGCCATGCTGGCTCAGGAATTCTGGGAGTTGAAGTCCACGAGTCATAAAAGAGCCAAGGTTGCCTACCTCTGGTCTAGACGTACCCAGTTCTTGCAACCGTTCCTTATATGTTTTAGCCTCCAGTCCCCTGATCATCTTTGTTGCTCTTCTCTGCACTCTTTCTAGAGTCTCAACCTCTTTTTCATATTGTGGTGACCAGAACTGGATGCAGGCTGCGTAGGCTGCTATCTCTCTTCAGGCTTAAAAACTTAAGAGGAGTTCAGAATTGATTTCCCATTGCAACTAATCCATTTATTTTAGATGCATGTTTGTCTGAAAAGATTTTTTTTTGTTTTTCCCTCCTAGATGAGAAGCGCAAGTTTTAATACCGACCCTTTCGTTCGTGAGTTTGGAATCATGGTCAAAGACGAAATGACAGATGTCACGGGGAGAGTGTTACAGCCGCCTTCGATTCTCTACGGAGGCCGGGTACGTGGCCTCTGGGCTTCACGTTCTCATTTTAGTCGTTGGCCACAGGCCCAAAGTAAGAGCTGGAACGACGCATTCCCTGTGATTTCAGATGGGCTATGTAGTATCCAGATTGATGGCTTGCAGATGTTCTGGAGTTAAATGTTGGTATAAAGTTCTCACAGACAGGAATGACCTCGCAGTGGAGAAGCCTTAATAAGGGGGACCTGTCTATCTCACGGTTCATGGGCATGTCCTGAAGGGACCTAGAACAGAGGTCCCCAATCTTTGGGGCACCAGAGACCGGTTCCGTGGAGAAAGGTTTTTCCGCGGAGCAGAGTGCGTGGTTTTGTGTGCTGCCTGCATCTCACGGATGGGGCTTTGCTTGTCTGTGTGGACCGGTTGCTGGCATGCTGCGGCCCGGTACCGGTCCACGGACCGGGGGTTGGGGCCCCCTGACCTAGAAGAACTGAAATGGACACGCAACATGTTGGGCATTGGGAGAAGGCATCAAGAGATGCAGTTGTGCACTCAAGCATCCCATTCTAACTTTCCACTGTGCACTTTTTGCACTAAGGCGTTCTTTGGTCTGCAGTCCATCATACAGGTCGTCCTTGACTTCATGGCCACAATTGAACCGAAAATTGTGTGAAATAGTCGTCAGCTTTGCCCCATTGCGCAACCTTCCTGGCTGTATTTGTTAAAGACGAATCACTGCGGTTGTTAAGTTACTCACACCGTCGTTAAGTGAATCCGGCTTCCCCCCCCTTGACTTTGCTTGGCAGAAGGACGCAAAAGGGGATCACGTGACTCCCCCCGGGACAGTGCAACCGTCATAAGTACATGTCAGTTGCCAAGGGTCTGAGTTTTGATCACGTGACCAGGAGGATGCTGCAACGGTCACGAGGGTGAAAAGCAATCATAAGTGCCGTTGCAACTTTGAACGGTCACTAAATGGACGGTTGTAATTCGAGTACTACCTGTATGTCTGACCAAGGAGAGCTTTGATATCACAAGCTGCGGATGGGGAGTGGTCTATGAACACTCCGGTCTCGATGTCTTTAATAATAATAATAATAATAATAATAATACTAATACTAATACTAATACTAATACTAATACTAATACTAATACTAATACTAATAATACTAATAATAATACTAATAATACTAATACTAATACTAATAATAATAATAATAATAATAATAATAATAATAATAATAATAATAATAATAATAATAATGCACCTGCAACATAACACCCCAGACTTAACAATTGTCGATAAGAAAGACAAAAAAGTCTGGATAGTGGACGTGGCAGTGCCTGGAGACAGCAGAATAGACGAGAAAGAACTGGAGAAGATCACAAAATACAAAGACCTACAAATAGAAATAGAAAGACTGTGGCAAAAGCAAGCAAAAGTAGTACCAATAGTAATAGGCGCCTTAGGTGCAATTCCAAAACAACTGGAGCACCACTTGAACACCATTGGCATTGACAAATTCGCTATTAGTCAATTGCAAAAGGCGGCCTTTCTAGGAACTGCTTCCATCCTGCGACGATATCTGTAATACCATCAAACATCCACATCTGCCTATCCCAGGTACTGGGAAAGGACTCGATAGGTAGACAAAATGCCAAATCCAGTCTGAACATCTGGCTGACTGTGCGATGATCCATAATAATAATAATAATAATAATAATAATAATAATAATAATAATAATAATAATAATAATAATAATAATAATAATAATAATAATAAT